ATAATTCTAGGGGGAACAGAAAGTATAGGAGGCTATCATTCAGGACTAAAGCAGAACACTTTCCAGGACAGAAAAAATATATATGTTTAAGATTTATTTATTTGAGAGAGAGAGAGAGAGAGAGAGAAAGAGACAGGGAGAGAGAGCATGTGTGTGGGGAGGGGCAGAGGGAGAGATTCTCAAACAGAATCTGCATGGAGTGCAGAGCCCGACATGGGGCTCGATCTCATGACCCTGAGATCATGACCTGAGCCGAAATCAAGAGTTGGCTGCTTAACCAACTGAGCCACCCAGGCTTCCCCAGAACAGAGAAGATATTTTTTTTTTTTTTATTAACATGTAATGTATTATGTGCCCCAGGGGTACAGGTCTGTGAGTCATCAGGCTTATACATTTCATAGCACTCACCGTAGCACATACCCTCCCCAATGGGACATTCTTAGGAAGAAAATGAACAGCTCCAACAAGCCTGACAAGGGCTCGCAGAAGTAGGGCTTTGGGGTAGAATCTAGAAAATCAACATGGCCCAAGGAGGCACCTCCCAGGAGGTAAGGTCTTAAGGGGGACAAGCCAGTTCGAATGTTGCCAGGAAAGCGTGAACCCATGAGCTCCCATTTATCAGACACAAGGATTTAAAAAAAAAAAAAAGTGGCTTGCCAACTCTAACACACATGGATCATAGTGAGCCAAACCAGGCACCTACCACTTGATTTCTATCTCCTCTTTCAAGAAAAACCATCCTCAAGCCTAACGAAAAGAACGAGATGATGATGTGGGGTGTGAGGAGCAAGACAGGTGAGGAGACGGCCCAAGCAGCCGGGTTCCCACACCCCATCGGCGTCTGTACCACCAGTGGTGTTAGACTGGTGGTCGGTGGTCTTTGGGGGACAGCAGTGGACAGGAGGAGTACCAGCAACTGGACAACAGGGGAAAAAAAAAACATATTTTCAAAAAGGACCATAAGAAAATTATCGATCTGTGGCCTGGAGGTGATTTCCAACAGAATTCAGAAGAGGAGTCAGGAAGCTTGGGAGCACTGAGAAAAGGCAAGGTGATTGCAGGGACCAGCATGGCTTACTAAGGGCACGCCAAATGAACTTCGAGTCTAAACTTTTTTCTTTCTTTCTTTCTTTCTTTCTTTCTTTCTTTCCTTTTTTTTTTTTTTTTAAGACTTATGTATTGGTTTGAGGGAGAGCAGGGGGAGGGTGGGAGAGAATCCTTGGAGCAGACTCTATGCTGAGTGTGGAGCCCGACGCAGGACTCGATCCCAGGACCCCAAGGATCGCGACCTCAGCCCAAGAGTTGGGCACGTAACTGACTGAGTTACCCAGGCACGCCCAAACTTTTTATTATAAAAGTAACACCTGCCAGCATAGAGAAATGAGACACTGCAAAGAAGGGGAAAGAAAAGGGCGCCTGGGTGGCTCAGTGGGTTAAAGCCTCTGCTTTCGGCTCAGGTCATGGTCCCAGGGTCCTGGGATCAGCCCCACATCGGGCTCTCTGCTCAGCAGGGAGCCTGCTTCCTCCTCTCTCTCTCTGCCTGCATCTCTGCCTACTTGTGATCTCTGTCTGTCCAATAAATAAATAAAAATCTATTTAAAAAAAAAAAAAGAAGGGGAAAGAAAAGAGCAGGAAAGACTGGTGAAAACCACTGTAAACACCTTCGGGGGTACGTTTCCAGACATTTCGATTTCTTCTTTAGGGGTGGGGGGCGGAGAGAGAGCATGTGTACAAGCAGGGGAAGAGCAGAGGGAGAGAGAAATCTTAAGCAGACTCCATGCGGAGCACAGAGCCTGATGTGGGGCTCGCTCCCATGATCCTGAGATCACAACCTAAGCAGAAATCAAGAGTCGGATGCTTCCCTGACAGAGCTGCGCAGGTGTTCCCGGATATTTTTAAAAATGTGATCACATTGCACGTTCTGGTTGTCACTTAACAACATTCACCTGCACCTTTTTATCCAAATCATTTTTGATGCCTTAAGAGTTAAGGCATCAAATCTTTTACGAATGTTCCACAATTTAACCCTTTGCTTTTTGTCTGGGACATTTAGGAGCCCCCACCCCCAAGCCCTTTCCCTGAGTATTATTTTTAAGAAGCAGCAGTGCTCTTCCCTGTGGATAAACCTTCCTGTACACCCGTGAGTATTTTCCAGAAGAAATTCTTATCGGAGGACGCATGAGGATCAAAGGCAGGCCCTGTGGCCGTGTGACGAGGGTACTAGGTGGCAAGGCAAGGGGCATGCGCTTCTCAGGATTTTGGCACTGAGTTAGCAGAAGCCCCTCACCCCACTTCTGTGGGCGAGAGAGAACTACTGGCTGAGCAGCTGGCAGCTGGCACACCTTGGCCGGTGGAACGCATCTGCAGCCCAAATGGCTGGGTGGGTATGAACACGAGCTCAGCTGAGCAGGGGAGGACCTTGCAGAGATGGAACAGGCTGGGCGGAGGTGGAGTCCCACACGCCGGGATGCATTTGAGAAGCAGGTCAGATCGCCTACCGCAGAGGTCACAGGGGGCGTTCCTGGGCTAAAGGCTCTCCTTCCCATAAACAGCTCATGTGCGGCTCTGTGCGCTGGGGCCACAGTTCTGTAGAGTCCCCTCCCCTTACTCCAGCAACTCTGAGTGCTGTCCCTTCCTCTGCACCCCTGACAGACACCAACGGCCTCTGTGCGAGGGACAGGAGAGGGGCTGGATAATGGGCATGCCTTTGAGAAGACACTGAAAAGTTAATATGACTTTAACAACCACACACACAAGTTAAGCGTGGGCTGCTCGCTTTTCAATTTACTTCGCCTAGAAACCTACTTATTTTCGGGAGGGCCCGCACGTGAATGGAGCCCTCGCTACACGTTTTCAGGAACGCACCAGAGCGCACCAGCAGTCTGCACAGAAGGCGGACTCCCGAAGCCTGTGGCAGCCCGGCACCAGGGCCGGTTCGGAACGGTCTGAGGCTTCATTTCCTTATTGGCTGAGCTCCAGCCACCGTACGTCGGGCACCAGGCAAGGGCGAGGGCCTGGGGCACACTTTTGCCTTGGCTGTTTTTGGAATCAACCCCTGAAACCTTAACTCTGCAATCCCAAACCGAGACGAGCCATTCTGTGCCAAACGCTATTCATGGCAGGGACGGGGTTGGTGGGGGTAGGTGATCTCTGTTCCCTTCCACCAGCACGGCTCGCAGGCAGGCAGCCGGTGGGGGGTGGGCAGGCTTCCGGGCAGCACCACGGTCGCTCAGTGCTGAGCTTGCAGGCCTTATGGAGCTGGCGGGTCCTGCGGGCGCTTTCTGGCAGCCTTCCCACGAAGCAGCCTCGGACCCTGGTGGAGCAATTTGGTGCCGGCGGCCACGGAGGTGCTGGGGGCTGCCTGCTGCTGGGGCGGGGGGGGGGGCACAGGAGGGGGCAGCCTCCGCAACCACTGTTTGGAAGATAAAATCCCACCGACTGCCACTTACATAAATGTAACAGGAAGTTTCTGAATGGCTTCCCCTGTGTCTTGAGGCTGTTACCTTGGTGTTGCTAAACTCACGGCTGAAATGAGCCCAGACAACACCTCATCAAAGCCGCAGGGCGAGGGAGCAGCGGTCCAGAGGCAGACAGGAACATTCCTGCCAAACCAGAGGAGGTTTCGCTCTGTGGGTCCTTTTCTGCAGAAATGTCAACAGCTGGGAAAGGCATCAGAGAACCCAGGTAAGGGGAGGCGAGCCGAACACTGCGGCTGGAAAAAGGTTTGCGAGCAGGAGGAAAGAAGCCCCGGCTTTGAGGTTTCCTCCGCGCGTTCGGAACGGGGCCGCCCTGCTGGGTCTCACAGACCTGTTTTGCACCACTCTGCCACGAAGCATCTGGGGAAATAGCTTTTCTACAAAATAGGTCATCTTTCCACACTTGTTATGCTCCTTGTCGACTTCGCTGAAATAGCCACAACACAAAAGAAATTCTCTCTGGAGGTGCTTTTCTGAGACGACGCGCTCCCTCTGCCCCTTCAGGAGCTGGGCTCCTGGAGGTAGGCCAGGCGCCTGGGCTTTAAGGACATCCCGGGTCTTCCTTTTCCCCCCACCCAGAAATGGAACACCTGGCTTTTGCTTATACTTCCAAACCTATTAGGGAGTGATCATAACAAGAGAAACTGATACTGACATGAATTATACCATTGTTCTATTTCATCTATTTAGTAACCCCAAGTTGCAATTTTTAGAAAAAAGATTACCTTTTAAATAACGGATTCATTATGGTACATGAATGAGTGCCATGTTCCCGTGTTCAAAACGTCACTCACCATTAAGGCCATGCGCTGGTAAGTGGTACCGATTTGCCACTTCCCCCTTAAATACAAACGCCCCTGACTGGAGGCCTAGGATCATGGGAGGTGAGCTTATGGGTTTCCTGGGCTCTTAGCGCGTCACCTGTGCTGCCAGGCACCCCATGAATCTCCACTCTGCCATCAGGCCTATAAGTGTTCCCCTCCGTGGTGAAGGTGGAAAGGCAAACTCGCACTGCTGAGGTTCCGGCCAAAGTACCACCATCCACTTCAAGGCCGAGTTCAGAAATCACAGACCCTTATGATGGGGGTGGGAAGGGAGACAGCCAGCGTCCCTTCTAGCCGCAAACCTAGCTTTGGGAAATGAGAGGCGAGAACAGTCCTGGACACAGGCTGGTGAGTGGACTGGGCCTCAGCTCTGTGCCGCTCCCGAGACCCCATGGGAAACCCGCCCTGGCTCTGGCAGGTGAACAATGCACAGAGTATTCTCTGGAAACCTCCCTTCAAGCTCGTGAAATCCACACATTGTTTTTCATCATTAGTTTCCAAATGCACAGAGTGTCTGGCCCTTCTCTAAGTGCTGAGGTGACACAAAGGAAGGAAAGGGCTGATCTCTGCAGGGGACAGGCTCCTCGCAGGGTGAAAAGACAGGTAAGACAGATGCCATTCGAAGCCAGGAGACACGCAGAGGGAGGTGGTGCCCGGGACACAGACACTGTAGCTGGCCATGAGCAGAGGCCCCACGTACCTGATATGGCATACAGATTGGAGTGCTGGTACTCATAGTCAGCCCGAGTGCTGTTCCTGCCTCGGAAGGTAGCAGGGAGCGTTAGTGAGATGTGCCTAAGAAAGAGACGGAGGAGAGAGGAGGTTACAGGGCGCACAGAGCACTCCCCAAGGCTCAGAAAGCACCCGCGCCACCACCAGCCCGCAGCAGCACAGAGCAGGAGGAGGGGGCGCCCCCTGGAGCAGGCCCCCCCAACAGCTCAAAGCCCCCCCAAGGAATTCAGAAGTTTCCAGACATCAGCAACCACCTTCTTTAATTCCAAGAATATCCAAGTGGGGGAAAAGGTTTCCCAAGCTTTATGGCATGTGTGAGCAACTTTGTCTAGATCTCTGCTCACTGTGCAAAATACACTCGCAGAAACAGATCACTTGACCCTGACCAGAAGCCTGGGCATGTTCCACCATCTTGCTTCTGTTGTCCATCCAATGGCTTTCATTCCTGTCCCGTAGGGCAGAGTATGGGCAAGGAGCACTTTGTGAATGAAGGTCTAGAGTATTATTACTACCACGTGAGTCCAGGAAAACATACAACCACTGAGAATCAGAATGGCCTGCTCTCCTGAACTGCTGGGTCTGCGTGTTCGCCCTCTGGCAGGAGTACACAGTAGGTGCTCAGGAAATCATCTCTATTGGTCCAGCACTGGCTTTTTATGACACAGATGTTGGCCATTAAAGCTCAAGGTGCCCACAGAGCCCAAGTGAGTATTCAAGCAGAGTAAATAATCCATTTGGTGGGGTCATTAGCTGCCTTTAGCAAATGCAAAAAAAGATTAAGATGATAAGAAATATATTTCAAACCCAACAGGTCTGGGAGAAAAAACAATAAGAAGGCGTCTTACTGGTAGGCCTAGGGATTGGCTTAAATGAGTTCAGTAGCCCGAGTTTTGGCCGCACTCAGTCATTTCCAAAAGGGAAAAGATCGAGGAAGGGAGCATTTATGACAAAGTTTTATGTTGTACATGTTGCCTTTTTCACACAATAAATACACGACCTTCTAGGAATGACTCCTGAATGCACAGGCTCCCGGGAGGGAAGGTTCTCTAGGCAAGACCTGTTCCCACAGGGTCTCTTGGTGACAAGATGAGCACCAAAGGTTGTAAAGGCATTTGGTTTGCTTGCTGTAGCATGAATACCGAGGCGAACATCTGTGCCATGGAACGGCCTGGCTCAACCCGGTGGGTAGAGGGCTTTGCTGAGCACTGGCTAGACCCAGGGCTGGAGGAAGAGGGGGTGGGAACCAGAAGACCTAAGTGCAGGGAGACTCTGACATGTGTGGAGCAGATCTGAGTGTCTGCTCTTACTGAGGCTAATGAAGGATGCAGGGGTGCGCTCGCTGAAGGAGTGCCCTGGTTATAGGGGATCGAGGTGTAGAAATAAAGCACCAGATGCAACGGGGCAGGTGCCTGGGTGTGAGGGAGCACAAGAGCTCTGAGAAAGAGGCCGGGGTTCTAGTGACACCTTGTCAGAAGAGGACACGGGTACTGATGGAGTAAAAGGAACTCACTGGGTGATCAGGGAAAGCCAACCCTCCGGCACAGGGTCAGGGTATGTATGGAAGTGAGGCTGGAAAGGTTGGGGCCAGGTTGGAAGGGACCCCTACCACTGCCATGCTCCAAGACTTCATCCCCTCAGATGAGAGTTCCTAACTCTGTTTTGCCCATCACAGCACAAATGAAGTCATCAGGGCTGCGGGGCACTCGCTAACAATACAGAGTCACAGCCATGAGCCCGGGGAGCCCGGATCGGGGGGCCTGGGGTGCGGCCAGGAATCTATCTTTAACAGCTCCAGGAGTGACGTTGAAGGCCGGCCAGGTTTGCGACCCTGAGAGGGTAAGGAGCAGCTGCAGGAGGGTTTTACACAGTTGATCAACGCCTCTGACCACAGCACTGAGTCAGTGAAGCTGAGCACACAGAAGAATGAATTATGGACTGTGGCTGTGGTTGAGCGGAGCTAAAATGATGACAGGTGACCCTGCAGAGGGTGTCCGCCATGTGCCAGGCCTCGGGGGATGCTGAGCTCAGGCGGTCTCTTTTGGCTGGAGGCATTCAGGAAGGCTCCAGGAGGAGGTGGGTGTTAGCGGAACTTTGGAAGATAGGCAGACCTGGATGGCAAAGAGCCAAGCAGAAGCCAGAAGAGAAAAGAGGGTCGGTCCAGCCATTCAGTGGTTAAAGAGAAGCTGAGAGTCTGACAGGAGAATATGCAGATGGGGGCTGGTGTGTGTGGGGGGTAGTGCAGAACAGGCAGGACCCCTGTGTGCACAGAGCTCACCCTGCAGCGGGGTGGAGGAGGGCAGGAAAATACCCACAAAGTTAAGGGAATATTTGCTTACAAAGAGAATCACGCATGAAGAGCAGGAGGTGCTGTGTCTGGGGAGAACGGAGGACTCCAGGCTCTGCAGTGAGTCTCCTACATGGCAGGGAGTCTGATGAAGGGAGGACCTGGCAGGGGGCTAGGGTGGCCGGAGCCTGAAGGCCAGGAGAGGGTGTGGCACCAGGCACAAAAGGGCTGCCAGGCCACAGCCCGGGGTGGGGGTGGGAGGGCCTACATGAGCTCGACTTGATCCAGGAGGATTGTAAAGCAGAGATGTGGAAAGATCCTATTTGCAGTTTTAAAAGATTGCCTGCCTATGGGAAGGTAAGGAAATAAAACACGATGCCGTGGTAGACGGGAACTGAGCAGCAAATTACAGTGGGGATTCTCGTGAAACTGCAATTATTGAGCACTTACTGTGTGTAGACCCTTCCCAGTTCTTGCCAAAGTGTCCTACGGCAACCCTCTGAACAGTTTGGGGGAAACTGTGTGGTGTACAGGACTTAAAAACAAAGGCTATACCAGAGAAACTAAGGTGCCTGGCTCCTTAGCTGCCCCGCCTGATGTGGACTCCCTGGTCTCAACTTTTCCTGCTTCTCTGGGACACCTGATGGTGCCTGGCTGACATGCTCTGCAACCGTTGCTACCCTGGCCAGCCCCTCTTCCTTGCAGATGTCCTTTCTGGTCCCTCCTCCAACTTTTAAAAAGTTACTCTTTGTCAGGGTTCTGCTTGAGCTCTGTCCTCATTCCATATGCTTTCCCAAGGCAACCCCGTCCCCAGCCATTCCCTGACTTTAGCTGTGCTCACTCACTAGCCCACCTTTCCCAACTGTCTCTTGCCCTGCTTACTTCTCCCTCTACCCGGAAGAGGGGAAAGTTCTGTAAATCTCTGAATATGCGATGTGATGTTCATGCCTTAGCCTGACTCTTTATCCAGGCTGTTTCCCTTTGTAGAATCTCCATTTCTTCCTTACCTACACTCCGAACTCCTATTCATCCCTCAAGATTCCACCTAAGCATGACTTCTTTGTTAGAACCTTCCCTGGGCTTGTTCTGGGCTCACCGGAGGCCTGCATGTCCCTTCTTTCTCCAGTTTGCACAAAATATTTGAAGCATCTGATACGAGCCTGTCTTCCTAACACGACTGTGACCTCCTCAAAATCAGGGCCGAAGCTCATCAATTTGTGCCCGTTTTTTAGGATGAATTTTGACCTGGAGTAGATAGTGGTTGAGCACGTGTTGACCAAATCAAGTGCTGAATCTACTCCAATAAAACCTCTGGATCTTTTTGGTATAAACTGCAGAGCGTCTATGACTTCATTTCTGCCCATGTGTGTGTTTGCCAATCAGACTCAAGCGGTCTTTATTACACCAGGCATCCCACTCGTCTCTGCCCTGGAAGAAAACAGATATAAGAAGGGATCGGTGGTGATTGGGGATTTATGGGAGGTGGTGGTGGGGGGGTGGGAGAGAGAAAAAGGATTTCTGATCTCCTACAGACAATTGTGTGGTTCACAGAGTACATGTGACGTTAACAGCGCATTCGAGTCGCACACCCGACGGTATCTTCGACAGTCAGAGCTCAACGGGAACGCGGTGAACGGAAATGAAGTCGCGCCAGACTCCGGCTCCTCAGCTGCTACGGGGCAGTATGATGCAGCACCCAGAGAGGAGAGAGGCTCCAACCAGGGACAGCTTCAGGGAGAAGGGTTCCCTACATTGCCAAGAGCTGCTTTTCACTTCTGTTGTCCGGACCCAGGAAGGAGGAAATGTGGGGGTGGGAGGAGGAAAAGCCACAGCAAAGCCTCCTGTAATGAGAATGGGCAGTTGGGGCCGAGGGGACAGGTAACCTGTGGTTAAAGGGAAAGAGCAAGTCACCTGCTGAAGGAGAAGCGGCCCAGGGGCGCTGCGCCGTCAGATTAGCCTGAAAGTGACAGATGACAGGAACCAGCGAGGCTCTGGTGATTGCAGAGTGAAAGGAGATTCTAGTTCCCCAGCAGGGGCCGGGTGGAGTGGGGAGACCTCATGCCAGGCACTGGGCTGGGTGCCTTCACGTACACGCCTCGCCTCATCCTCCCGGCAACCTTTTCCGATTGGAATAGTTAACTCCGTTCGATAGAACAGGGAACGGGGTGGGGGGCTTCAGAGGGAAAGCTAACAAAGAGAATGCTGGGAATTAGGGAAAATGTTCATCCATGTATCTTCCGGGGGTAAACACTATTATCTGGAAGTTGCCCTACTGTATCATCTCGGCTTTCAGGTATATAGATCAAGGACTGCACAGTCTATCCCGAGACCCTTTTATAAGCGACGAGGCCAAGGACTCAGCATCTTGGCTACTGACTGGCTTGATGATCATGGCAGGACACAGTCCCTCTGATACCATGTCACCAAGGGAGAAGCAACAGAATGGGACACCCCACGGCCCAACTATATGCCCAGGGAGGAAGAGCAGTGGTGGCAGTTAGCAGCACTGACCATGGAGTTGGCCTGATGTAGGTTCAAGTCCCAGCACCGTCCCCGGGAGCTGGGTGCCCCGCAGGGACGGCGTGTTGCCCCTTCCTGCATACCTCGTGACCAGGCCAAGCAGACGTCACAGAACCAGGCATGTTGTGCGCGTGCAGAAGCAGAATGTCCCTTATAATTTCCCATACAGCTCCTATTCTGATTCTTCTCACTCCGGTCATTATTTTAGCATCCCACTGATGAAGGGCTCAGTCCAGGACCATGACAGAACCCGCTGGTG